TTGGTTTTCACGAGACTCACCGGCGCATGCGCAGCGCTGAACTCATGCGTCATCCGCCCGGAACTGCTTCCGTTTACAACAGTGAGGGCAAGCTAGATTAAAGTGATTATTGTTGATTATTGATTATAGTGTTTTGAATATGGATATTTTTCTTACAAAAGCGCATCGATTCGCTACAGGAGGCCTTTATTCACCCCCCGGAGCCGTGTGAGACGGGTTTTTTTATGGATAGGCGCTTTTTATTTAACTTATTTTGGACTGATGCATGCAACACCCACTGAGTGGCATTAAACAGCTTGAAAGATCAAAGACAATTTTTAATATAACTCCGACTGGATTCATCTGAAAGAAGAAAGTCATATACACCTAGGATGGCTCTGGGGTGAGTAAAACACAGCCTAATTTACATTTTTGGGTTAACTAACCCTTTAAGCCTTTAAATGAGCTGAATCATTGCTAAAACAAAATGCACTGCCACACATTAAATGAAAATAAATACCCTTATTAAAAAACGATTTAAAAACTCGTCTATGCCATCAGGCAATTTACCAAACCATATTGTCAAGACCACGTGATAAAAAAATCAATGAATCATTTTTGTAACCGAACTTTTTTGTTGAAAAAAGTCTCTCTACTCTTACTACTTTTACCAAATCTTTCTGTGGCATAAAGAGTAAGAGTAGTATGCTAGTTCTGTCATAGCTTTGTTGATTTACTATGATAAATGTCTTTACCATCAGACTCCCACAAATTTCCCATAATGTAGCCTAAACAAAAATACATGTGTAAATTTTACATACAGAAAATATTCCAGCTCAGACAGATTTTCGTGTTCACCGTTTAGTGCAAAGTCACTTTGAATCAGCTTGTCATAAATGATGACACACAAACTGCATCCATCTCAAAGTCTTGTTTATTTTACCATTTTATGAGGTATGTGTGTGTGTGCCCAAGTTCACTGTTCTATGACATTTGGGGTTTATTATGTGTCAAAAAATGAGCTGCTATACACAATACAAATGAACGTTACAAGAAACCAAGTGATTCTTCAGAACAGTTTTTAAAATTAAACTCCAATATCAGATAATACAGGAGACCGGGGTATGTTGTCAAATAATAGTTGTCACTATAAGAATTTGAGTCAAAAGTCCAATGAGACAAAAGCTTGTTTTCACTAGGAGGGGTTTTCTATGTTGGTTTCAAGCAAAACATTTTGTGATTTTTGTCCTCCAGCCTGAAAACACGTGGATTTACTTCATGAATCGGCCCCATTGCCCTCAGATAACTCGAGACTAGGGTTTGATTTTTGCTGTTATCTGTTGTCTGTTTTCCTTCAGTATTCAACAAGCAGTCACCCTTGCGTTTGCCCTCTCTACCCGTCCTGACCTGCCTGTGAACTCAGTCAAATTAAGATAAGACTGGCTTAAGAGCCAATAAACTAATTCAGTGATAATTAAAAATTTCGACAACAAAATTCATTTATGGCACCATATCCATTTAAGTTTACAAGTTCATCTCTTGGAGGGCGGCGATAACATCATGATGCCGCCTAATAGAACACTTGTTCTAAACAATTAGTTAAATACATATTTACGTTGTTTAATTAACCACAGACACATGTACACATATATAATCTACAATTTCATGTAGATTCATGGAAAAGCTGTTAACAATCGATATACTGTAATACAAGACATGATATGTCCTTTTATTCTTAGAATAGATCCTTGATCTTCATTAGATTGAAGCTGAAAATGTCTCTTTTGCAGTGGCCCATGAAAGCGATGAGGTCAGAAGTATGAACGGTGTTGAAGTGTGGCGAGTTCAGGAGAACCAATGGGAGGACAGCTTGACTCCGGCAGCCAGAGCTTCTGGTGAAAACTCGGGTACTGGAATTGAAAACAGCCAATCAGAAACAGGATATTTAAACACTTTTAAATTCATTTTTCGCGATGAAACAGAAATAGCGACAGAGCTTTTCTTCCATATTGTGATATACATTTGAGTGTAAAAGATTAGCGGAAAAGAAGAAATGGAGGGCGGGACTTGGTTCAATGCAGTGGTAGCTGATTGGGCGTTGAGATGTAGGCGTGACTTGCAAGGGCGGAGTTTAAGCACACTAAATGATTGGAGAATTTTTAAGTACAGTCAGCTTAGCTGTTTAAAGGGATGGTTCACTGTTTTTTTTTCTCGGCTTGATTGTGTTTATGGGGTGCAGTCTAACGTGTTAATGCTTCGTTTAAAAAAAAAAAAAAACATTATTTTTCACATAATTTACCTTTATTCC